CAGCAAAATAAACCGTTAACAACCTCCGTGTCCAGCAGGAAGGACCTGCAAAATTAGTCATGAATGACCTTCACCGGGAAGCACTGTGCAAACAGGAAGATAAGGCAATAGATCTGAACCTGCACATGTGGGAAAATGCCCTCAAGATTTCTTAAAGTGACAGGAGCAAGTTGAAGAATAATGCATTTAGTGGGGTCTCTTTTGTGCATTTCAAAAGGGTAGATTGGAATTGTTCTAGGTGTTTGTGGAAGTGGAGACATATCCTGGAGGAGGGCACAGGAAACTACTTACAATGGTTTCATCCGGGAGGGGGTAAAGTATTTAGAGATTTTTAGGGTCAGGCTCTATACCCATTAGCATTGTTTAAATTACCAGTATTACCATAAATGTGCTTTTCTATTATATAATGAAAAAAAATAAAAGCTTAACAGTGAGCCCATAATCCATAAAAGCAATTGTGATGATAGTATGACCACCAAATAGCTTATCGAATGCCAATTCTGTGTATTCTCTCATCTCTCATCTGTAAAGCCTCTTATACGTGAGGAAACGGAGTCTTGGGTTAAGAGCCTTGTTAGGCCACATCTGAGAACGAAGCCCTGGTTCTTTTCACGGGCCTGGTTCTGGGGCCCAGAATGAGAGCTGGCTGTGGGCGCTTTGTGAGGACCGCCCCCGTGTGCCTCTCCTGGGGGCTCGGTGGTTTCCCACGAGGGCAGCTGCTCGGTCATCTGTGCCCCGCAGTCTTCTCCTCCCCACCGGACTCCTCAGAGCGGCCCTGCCAACGAGCGACTTAAATTAATTAGAATTAGGGAAGGCTAACACCTGGTAGCCGCGTGGTTGGCAAACTACTGCTCTCGAGCCATAAGCAGCCCTTTGGCCCCTTGAGTGTGGCTTTTTCACAAAATACCACGGCCTCGGCGGGTCTATTTTAAAGAAGTGGTGTTAGAAGAAGTTTAAGTTTTAAAAATTTGACTCTCAAAAGAAATTGTACTATTGATATTTGGCTCCGTTGACTAATGAGTTTGCTGACCACTGCACTAGCCATATTTCAAGCGCTAACTGTTCTCAGGGGGGCTAGTGCCTACTGAATGGTCAGCACAAATATCGGACATTTCCGTCATTGCAGGACCTTCTGCTGGACAGCACTGCCTCGTCACAGCTTTAGAGCCAGCAGAAGGCCCCAGCCTTGCTCTTCCACTCACGGGGTGAGCTGAGCCCGCTATGTAACCTTTCTGAGCATCCGTGTTCTTACCTGTAAAATGGGATCACAGTTGAGCTACCTCACTGGGCGGTTGCAAGGATTCCTTGAGATCATGCCGTTTGCACAGTTAGCCCAATGCCTGTCCCGTGAGCCACCTAAAGGGTAGTGAGGAGGGTAGGAATCTGCAGGCAGACAATTTCGTGGCCTTGGGCAGGGCACCTGCACTCGGAGCCCCGCCTCCTTCTCTGTAAAATGGGTTAAATGGGTCCATGTTAAATATTCTGCCTTTAAGAATTAGCTTGAAGGGGAGGCTGGCCTGGCTGACTCCACAGAGAAGGGTTCCTTAATCTCAGTTTCCCTTTCTGTGAAATGGGGTGCAAGCTCTTGCCATGACACACCCACTCATGCACACACATGTGTGCACACATTCACATACCCCATTTGTGAATGGGATTTTTTTTATTAATACTTTTCTTCCCACCATCTAAGTTCTTCTGGCTGGGCTAATAAGCAAATTGACAGAGACAGATTAACAGGAGAAAATAAACATTTAATACACGTGCATGAGAATTTACATCGACATGATAAATCCATAAAAATTCCTAGAGACTGGGAGGCAACACTGGGTAGGTAAGACATGTTGGCCAAAGGAAAAATGGGCTGGTATTAGATTTCACAGCGAGAGTGCACCCACTCTCGTACCTACTTACCTGTAGCGAGGCTCCGAGTCAGACGGCCTCATGGTCGCAAGGCTGCCGCGTGTTTTCATGTCTTAACCTGTCCCGGGCTCAGCTTCCTTCCTCATCTCTGACTCAGGAACCTCACTCTTCCCTAATGGTCAAAGGACCATTATGAGGCTTAAGTGAGACCCTAGGCATGCTCAGTAAGTGTTTGCTACAATTATTAAGTTGGTTTTCCTTTACTAAGCACCTATGTGCCAGCAACTATGCTACACATTGAAGACACCCCTGAATAAGTCACAATATTTACAATTTATTGGGGGGTGAAAAAGACATCCAGAGACACACCTCCCTCTGATTCATTCCAGGTTACAAGGACGAACACTCTCACATCCCACCTCATCTCTCCCAAAGTCAGAACTCGGGCCCATCTATGTTCATAAGCTGTGATTGTGCTAATACCGCCTGCGTCTTTACCACCAATCCCAGGCATTGTGCACAGAAGTGACCTCAGTGTTTCAAAAAAAAAAAATCTATGTTGTGAAGAAATCAAAAGCACAACACATAAATGGATACAATCACTGTTGATAGTATCTACTCTAGCTAAACATTCACCTACCTTATGACTCAGCAATTCCACGGCTGGGTATTTGCCCAGCAGAAACCACTGAGTTTACCCATATATTCATAGAAAGATGCTCATAGCCGCTTTATTAATCAAAGCCTAAACTGGAAATCATCCAAATGTCTGTCCTCAGGAAGACAGACAGCCACACCAGGATGTAGCTGTAGGATGGGGTATGACTCAGCAGTAAAGAGAATGACCTGCTGATGAATCTCAAACATGCTGTTGAGTGAAAGAAGCCAAACTCCAAAGAATACGTTTCATGATTCCATTTATATGAAGTTCTAGAACTTAGACTCCGGGGTGCCGGGAATGCTTTCTGTCTCATTCTTGGAGTGGTTGTGTGGGTGAGCACATATGACTAACTTCACAGAGCTGCATTCTTGGGATGAGTGCACTTTATGGATGTGTGCTAATCCTCCGGTTAAAATTTTATGAACAAAGCAAGGTCCCATAAGTGTTCTTTGGTGCACGCCTCTTGTAGGGAAGACTAAGGAGGATGTGTGATGAGTCCATGGTCTCTTTGAGACATCTCAAATGGAGGCATCAGCCTCCAGAAGCAAAGCGAGAAAGAGGGGGGGATAGACTCATGGAAGATCACCCAGGTCCAACCCCGAGAACATTTCTGCAACAATCGGGGCATGAAAAGGAAGCAGGCGGCAGCCACAGGAAAGACAGAAGAAATGCAAATGTCTTTGGCCTCAGCCAACAGTGGGTTGTGTTCAGACACAGGTCCGTTGTACAATATACAATAGCATCTCCTCTGGTATTGTACTGTGTGTGCTACCTCTCACAAACCAAATGATAACTAAGCCCGCATCTTCCAATCCCTAAACGCTGAGAACAAATGAGCATTGGCTGTATTTCTCAGCACAGTCCTTAGAAAAGACTATCTATTACCTGTAATACGTCAGCAAAGATCCAGGTGGCTTTTCAAATTAGCTTCGCCTTCACAGGGAGCTGCGTGCGAGTGAGCGTTTTCTCCTCACCAAGCTCCAGTCATTAAAGGGACAGAAGCCTCTGGTCACTGAGGTCTCACTGGACATAGGTTGCCCTGATTCCCCAACGAGTCTGTCATGTAAGGGGGTGGGGGGGTGGCGGGAATGCAAGGCACAATCGTTGGGACGCTGGTTCTGGGAGCTGCTCCTTCTGCAGCCCTGGCTTTGTGGTGCTAATGCTGCCCTTGGGTCCAGCCCCACTCCCCAGGTCTGTGCGGGAGACATGAGAAGAACCCCTGAGCCCCTGAGAGCCTCTGAAGCAGGTCCTTTTTCTATGTCCTGGAATTTTCTTCCACAGATGAGGTTACTGGTCCTCTCAATGCCTTTGTTAAAAAACACAAAAGAGGCTTGGCCAAATTCCAAAAAACACCCTCCCTCTTCTAAGGCCTCCTCTGTAGCAGAGCTCAAAGTGGGATAAATGGGTCCATGGGAAAATGTCAGGACCCTAGCCCCTTCTACCCACCCTGAGCAATCCCTGGGGCCACTAAGTGTTGGGCCTATTAGACTCTCAAGTGGAGATGCCGGGTGGCCTGTTGGACAGCGTTGAAGCTCACAGTGAAAGTCTGGGTTGGAAACACAGGTTTGGGGATCGTTGGCTTAGAGCTGTTTTTAAAGTCATGGGTGTTGCTGAAACTGGTTTGGCTCAGTGGTAAAGCATTGGTCTGCGGACTGAGGGGTCCCAGGTTCGATTCCGGTCAGGGGCATGTACATTGGTTGCGGGCACATCCCCAGTAGGAGGTGTGCAAGAGGCAGCTGGTCGATGTTTCTCTCTCATCCACGTTTCTAGCTCTTGATCTCTCTCCCTTCCTCTCTGTAAAAATCAATAAAATATATTTTTTAAAAATAAAATAAAATAAAGTCATGGGTGTTGAGGGAGGAAAGAAGGCGCCCAGGAACTGACCTTGAGAGGCAAACCCTGAAGCCTCTGAGTTGACCCTTGAAGAAGAAGGAGTTAGCCGGGAAGGTGGGACAAGGCAGGCCGGGCAGAAGGCACTGTATGGATAAGATTCCAACATAAAAAAGACATGACTCTCAGTACTCCTCAAAATTGCCAAGATTGTCAAAACCAAAGAGTCTGAGAAACTGTCAGAGCTAAGAGAAGCGTAAGGAGAAATGGCTTTAATTATTAATAATTTGACAATATTAATTCATTAATTGTAACAAATGTACCCTACTACACACATATAAAATATTAATAATAGAGAAACTGGGTGTGAGGTACAATAAATTCTCTGTATAATCTCAATTTTCCTCTAAGTCTAAAACTGTTCTAAAAAGTAATTTATTTTTTAAAAAGGGCATGAGCCTCATAAATATCCCCCAACACACACAAACACACTCACATGTGCACTCCAAGGACATAGTAATGTGTTTCTCTGGGTAGTCTGAGTGGACAGTATGAGGATTTTGACCCTGCCCAGTCCTTTCTGTAGTCAAAAGACTCAGGGACATTGAATATTTCCTCACTCCTCCACCTCCTTTCTTTCTGTTCACAGAAAGAATACTCTCCTCGGGCCATATTTCATAATGAAAATGAGAAGCAGAGACTAAATGGCTCAGGTAAGTCAGATCCACCTAGGATCCTTCAGGGGTAGGGAAGGGGGGAGTACAACCTGAGTTAATCCTCTGGGAATGTTGTCAATGTGCATTCCTTAGTCACAATTTTCCTGAACCCTACCTTGTTCAATCCTGGCTTGGTTTCCCTCCTGCAGCCTTGGTGCCATCTGGGTTCAAATTCCAGTTCCACAACTAACTAGGTATGGGATCTTGGCCAACTCACTTGAGCCTATTTCCTCATTTCTAAAAGGGCCATAACCATACTTTATCAAAGAGTGGGTAAAATGAGATGAATGGTAAATTGAGTGCCATTTCATCCTCTGAAGAATGGATGTGAGATAGAGAATGCCAACTGTCTAGCATGGTGCCTGGCACGCATGGCGGCTGGTTGTTGATGACAGGCATGGTCAGTCCGACCAATCAGTGAGGTCCCTGAAGATCCAAGTGTGTCCCTTGGGTCCCTGGGGCCCAGGTTGCTGACTGAGGATCAGAGAAGTACAGGGATCTCTGAATCAGAGCAGAAGCGGGGACTGGGCAGTGGCCAAAGGCCAGCCAGAGAGGGCTTTGCAGGCAGATGGCCTGGGAGGCATCAAGGCTGGAGAGGACTCAGAGGCAGATGGAGGTGACACTGTGTGGCTGAGGCCCCAACAGCCAGCTCAGGATTCCCGAGCCCTCGCAAGTGCAGCCTTAACTGATGCCATCCAGTACCTTGGACAGCTCCAGGGGGTCGGGATCCCTAGGTTTGAGGGGCACTAGTTTGTGGGTGGAGACTGGATTGGGTCTTGACTCCTCCATCTGGCTGTGTGAACAGGAGCCAGCCACCTCACCCGAGTCTCAATGATCTCATCTCTAACTTGAGATAACACCTGCCCTTCAGCGCTTTTGTAGAGCCCATGGAATAACAGCAGCCCGTGACTGGGGTCAGACCACTGGAGTGTGTGTCCCAGCTCCACATTCTGTGGTGGCAGAGAAGTTGTTTAGCTTCTGTGAGCCTCAGTTTGCTCATCTGCAAAATGGGAAGGCTGAGAGATGCTGATTCATAGGGTTGGGAAGATGAAACAAAGAGGATAGCAAGCACACAGTGGAGATTTGCTTTTTGTTTTGGAAGAGAGCACGGCACCCAGCACAGTAGATAATCAACACTCTGTTTCTTATACTGTATCTTCCAGATTGACTTTGCCTCTTCACTTTCAGATTCTTTTGGTTGGTCTTCCCATCTCTGCTGTTAAAAGAGTCCACAAAGCCAGAGAAATCAATCTTGTGCATCCACAGGCTTCCCACCCCAACCCTCCTCCCCCGGTGAAGTCCCGGCTTCTCAGTGCCACCCACCCCAGATACCCCGAACACTTTTTAAAATACCAGTGTGTCGTGATCGTTCTGTGCTAGCCACTGTTCTAAGATACATCAGTTACCCTCACAACCCTGAGAGATAAGTACCCAGTTTACAGATAAGAAAACTGAGACTTTGCCAGGTCAGGTCATTAAACTGTGGGGTCACACAGCTGTTGATGGGTGGCGCTGCGTTCCCATCCCAAGAATGGCATCTCAGAACCCCACACCAGCAGCCAGGAGGAGGAAGTAGAGTAGGTGGGAGACCACCTGGAAATCAGAGCACCAGGTTCTCGCCTTGGACCTGGGACCGCAGGCCCAGGGGTCCTGAGACCAGACGCTTACCCGTCCTGCCGGCTGCCCGGCGGGGTGGACCTACCCTCGCCCTGGCTCCGGGCCCTCCCCCGCGGCGCCTCCGCGCCCCACGGCCGCAGCGCCGGTAACCTGACCCGCGGCGGGTTTGGGCCGCAGAGACCGGCGGCCCCGCTGCTCCGCGCTCCCCGCCCGCAGTGCCGGCTCCGCTGTCGGGCGCGCGGGCGCATGGCGCAGAGGCTGGGCGAGCGGGCGCGGGTGCCCGCCGAGGCCACCGGGCTGTACCGGGCCGTGCTGCTCCGGTCCGGTAAGTGGGAGCCAGGCCCTCCCCGCCTCCGTCCTGGAGGGGCGCGGAGAGGGCTGGTGGGCGCATCGAGCGCAGCCCCCGCCAGCCCGCCGCGGCGCTTTGGTCCTTCCTGGCTCCGCTTCCCCCTTCCCTTCCTTCCTCCCCTCCTCCCTTTCATTACTTTTCTTTCTCCGCTCTCTTCTTCCCTTTCGTTCCTCCTTTCCTTCCTGCATTCTTCCCCCTGGGGATTCGTATGGCTATGTGGGCGCGAACACTCGCTCGCTGGCTCACACTCAGTGTCCTGGCGACAGAAGTGAGGCTCCCCTCTTGGGGGTCCCCGAAAAGGAGACGCGCGCGCGCGCGCGCGCGCGCGGGCGCCGGGGGTGGGGCGCGGGCGCGGGGCAGGAGGGAGCGCGAAATGGACTGATGTCCAGGGAGATTAGGTTCGCAGGAACGGTGGGAGGGGGCAGAGCAAGTTCCTGGAGGCGAGGAAGCGTTTTCCATAGGCGTCCTTTAAGCCTCTAAGGAGAACAAGATTTGTCAGGAAACACCACGCGTCGCTTTTGCGGGTGGGAGTTGGATAAGTGTGTTTCCTCCTCTCTCTCCTTTCATTTGAAGTAAACATACTACGTTACTGCTCAGGACGATGAGAGATGCTTTTATTTAGGAAAATGAAACCAACGTACGATATGGTCACTTTACAAGTAATTTGGAAAACAGGGGAAAGTGGGAAGAAGGAGATGCTGAATGTCCAAATCCGGCGTTTGGGACGGTTCCTTCTGGACTTTGTGCTTGAACGTGACGAGGGGGAAGGTGAAGAGCGGTCTCCTCCCTGGGGTCCGTGCCTGTTGGGGTACGCGGTTAGAGAGCCTCGAGGGCCTTGGGCGCCAGGGGAGTGACCCTCTGCCGGGGCGAGGGGCGCCCCACCCAGCGGTCCTGCCTGCGGATCGCTGGGGGCGGAGGAGAGGCCCGGGCTGTGTGCCCAGGGCCAGCCCGGAGCTGTCCGTCCGCTCTGGGACCTCCGGACCAATCGCCTTTCCCACCCGGACGGCCCGCGCCGCGGAGCCACTGCTGCGGAGCCTGGGGACAAGGCTCTCCAGGTCCAAAGCCAGAGCTGGCCGAGCATCGGGGCTGGTGGCGCCTTCCGGGAGGGTCTTCGATGTGGCGGCGCCAGCCGGCTGGCAGGAAGGGATGCGCTTTCTAATGAAAAGAATCTGATTTTAAATCCCAGCTCCAGCGATTCCCCCACCGAGCACTCTCTAAGTGTCCCGCCCAGTTCCTCTTCTCTCACCAAAATGCGGAGGGCGCAGCTCCAATCCCAACAGCTGAGCTCCCTGTAACTGCAGCCAGGAGCCTTGCTCCAAAGGTAGCATGTATCGCCCCTCCAAACTCACAGACATGTTAGAGTCGTTCCGGCGGCACATGTCTGCACACAGGGACGCAGCCAGGAGGGCACAGAGGCCTGTGACTGGGCCCCCTACTCTGTGCTCGGCGCTGGGCTTCTGGCCGGCTCCACAGCCCTGGAGTCACCGCTAATTGTCATCCCCGTTTAATGGAGGAGGAGACCGAGGCTCAGAGAGAATAAGCAGCTTGCTGGCCTATGGCCCTGCTAAGGAACCTTTTCTAAAGGGTAGATAGAAGACGCATTCACACTTGGGTCCATGGATGCTGAAGTCTGGACACCTTCTGAGGACAGTAATAACAATGGCCAGTGATTGTTATTCCTCCCCCCCCCCCCCTTGTTACTGCCACTCTCTCTGCCAAATGCTGTGCTTCTCATGAACTTCCTTCATTTAATCATTCAACCAATATGGATTGATCACTGTCTTAAACATTTGAAATGAGGAGACCGAAGCTCTAAGGTAACACAATTTGCCTACGGGGTGACACAGCCCATGGGGGTGAGGCTGAGATTTAAACCCAGGGCTGCCTGCTCTGGCTGCCTCACACAGGAAGAGCAGTGAGTATGACTGAGGGGAGAGGAGCCAACTCACCATTTAGTCAAGAGGCAAGATCCCCTTCAGCAGCTTCCGAAGACAGGATCATAGAATCAAAGTAGTGTTTTCATACAATAACCTCAACTTATGCCTCAAAGTACTACAACGCTTTTAGAAAAACTGTCATCTCAAATTACTTTAAAATAACTGAATATTAAAATAATACAGGCTCACCATGAGTATTTTGGGAAATCGGAGAATAAAGAGAGGAAGTCATTGACCTAGAATCCCACCAACCATAAGCAGGCACTGGTAACACTGGGGATGTCTCCTTTTAACCTTTGCTGTGCGCAGTGGGTGGTCATGTGTGCTTGCTCTTTGTCGCTGAGATTGTACTGGCTCTGGTCTCTGACCTCACTCTTCTCACTTGGCTGGAAATCTTTAATGCTCTTAAAGGAGTGACCCAGAAAACAGCGCTCGCCATGGAGCCCAGACTCTGGGGCCGGTACTGTGTGAAGGGCTTCTGTGTGAACAGATTGTTGTATGTCCTTCACTCCTCAAAAGGACTGTTGTCTGCCCCCTTTTGGAGACAAGGAAATGGAGAGTTGAAGGTTAACCGGGTCCCCTAGCTGTGCAGCCTGGAGCCAGGAGTGGTGTCTGTGCTGACACCAGAGCCCAGGCTCTGCCCCACTGGGCTGCAGGGTCCCCTCAGGGGAGCACGCATGTTTGGCTGTGCCTGGCGGGCTGTGCGGGGCTGTAGTGGAGTTCCCCCTGCAGTTGGCCACCGGCATCCTACCTGGAGCTCAGGCCAAGGGGGCAGCCGGTGGGGCAGCTGGAGGGGGCAGCCGGAGCCTCCAGCCCTGCAGCCAGGGGGGCAGCCGGAGCCTCCAGCCCTCCCTGCCAAGGAGGGTTGCCAGGTAAAACACAGGGCACCCAGTAAGATCTGAATCTCAGACGCACAACCAATAACATTTCAGAGTCTAGAAAATCATTCATTGCTATCTGAAGCTCAAATTTAATTGGGCATGCTGTATTGTTTTTTAATATATTTTATTGAGTTTTTACAGAGAGGAAAAGAGAGGGATAAAGAGTTAGAAACATCGATGTGAGAGAATCATTAATCAGCTGCCTCTTGCACA